TGTGGGTGTGGGTGTGGGTGTGGGTGTGGGTGTGGGTGTGCGTGTGGGTGTGGGTGTGGGTGTGGGTGTGGGTGTGGGTGTGGGTGTGGGTGTGGGTGTAGATGAGGAAATCGCACCCACACCCACACCCGCACCCACACCAACACCCACACCCACACCCTCCTTTCATCGTGCTAGCTTCACAGCCCTTGCATATAAGCCATGGCCTGTGTTATGCAATGTCTGTCTGTGCCAGGTCACATGTTAAGGGTCAACAAGGCTACTATAGGTCTTAAACAGGTATCCTACGAGGGTACCCATAGGCCCTCAAGGTTTATCCTATGCGATACTCATAGGTTCTCCAGAGCTGTTCTATACAGGTACTTAATAGCGTATGAGTACCCTATATAATAGGACTTGAGGATCTATAAGTACCCCATAGGATCTCCATAGAATGGCTCTGGAGGACCTATGAGTACCCCATAGGATAACTCTTGAGGACCTATGGGTACCCCCATAAGATAGCCTTTGAGGATCTATGAGTATCTCTATGTAATAATTCCCCCACCTACATTAGAAGACCCTTCCATAATAGAAGACCCCCCATTATAGAAAACCCTCATTAGGGAACGATGTGAAATTCACAATGGAAGACCCGGGTTTGTAAAAAAAAATCTTTTACATTTTGTTAATTTACTTTTGTTAAGTGAAGCTATTATTGAATTGTGTTTATTGGAGAATAGAAGTCACAACAGAATAGATGGAAAAGTAATAACTTATCTATGCACAATGGGAATGCATTTTCGTCGGAGAAAGGAAAATAAATTTCGTATAGAATGAAGCCAAGAGGAAAGAGAAAGCTTTTCATGGCGTAAGAGAGAATGAGTAATATTAAAATTTATTTGAATTTGTAACATATTAAATTAATGAATATATAAAATATGGACGAGCAACATCTTGCACCTCTTTCTGCTGATGAAGATTCACGTTTTGACGGTTATAGTAGTTCTGATGATGCAAGTGTTGAAGTTACTTCAACCATTGACGAATGTGAAAATGAATTAGTACGTTTATCAACATATCTTCAATTGGAATCTGAATTCGACAATGATGATGATCGAGCTTTTGAATGGCCTGAACCACCACCAACATTACTTTCTTCACGCTCATCTGATATTGAAGAATTAGCTGATTCTCAACAGGTGGTATTGTCCACAACGTCATTTAATAATGGTGATGCTCAAGAAAAATCTAAGAAATGTAAACGATGTCAATGGTCAATACTAGAAAAGCTTGATGCTATCGCACTATTTGATAAAAATCAAAGTAAACGTAAGATTGCGAATGAAAAAAGGATGTACACCTGCTCAACGACGAAATTGGATTCACAATAAGGAAAATTTGTTAAAGATGTACAAAAATAAAAAAGGTTTGTTTCTATTTTCTTTTAATTGAAGATAATAGTATCTTGTCTTTCATCTTTTAGGTGGTAAACGAAAACGATTAGAAGGTGGTGATAAAAAAGTCGTTTATGCTGATCTTGATAGTCGACTTTTTACCTGGTATCGGTCACGAAGAACCGATCCTAATGATCAATCTCGTGCTGCACCTGATATACAAAGAGAAAGAGTAACTCTTCGTCATTTGGAAAAAGAAGGTCGTTGAATTGCTAAAGAATTAAATCATTCTTCACCAGTATCAAGTTGGTATTTACGTTTTTTGAGGCGTAATGGTTTATCATTACAACGACCGAAGAGACAAGATAAAGTACCACTTGATGAAGTTGATCGTTTAGCTAATTCTTTTTATATGTTCAATCGTCGTGCAAGTTCATGGTCAATTCGACGTGGTCGGATGGGTGCATTTATTTCGGAAGACATTTGCAATATGGATGAATCTCCATTAGCGCTTTTTGGTGATCAAGCTAAAAGGTCTGTTAATGATATTGGTACAAGTAATGAAATCAATGGGTACATTAGCAACAAGGTAGATATCATGTAGCTGATTTATGTTAATTTTTTTTAATCGGATGCTTGTTATTCGAAGAATTTTTTACCATTTTCTTTAATAAACTGAAGATATATGAATCTATACTNTATTTGATAAAAATCAAAGTAAACGTAAAACTGCGAATGAAAAAGGATGTACACCTGCTCAACTACGAAATTGGATTCACAATAAAGAAAATTTGTTAAAGATGTACAAAAATAAAAAAAGGTTTGTTTCTATTTTCTTTTAATTGAAGATAATAGTATCTTGTCTTTCATCTTTTAGGTGATAAACGAAAACGATTAGAAGGTGGTGGTAAAAAAGTCGTTTATGCTGACCTTGATAGTCGACTTTTTACCTGGTGTCGGTTACGAAGAACCGATCCTAATGATCAATCTCGTGCTGCACCTGATATACAAAGAGAAAGAATAACTCTTCGTCATTTGGAAAAAGAAGGTCGTCGAATTGCTAAAGAATTAAATCATTCTTCACCAGTATCAAATTGGTATTTACGTGTTTTGAAGCGTAATGGTTTATTATTACAACGACCCAAGAGACAAGATAAAGTACCACTTGATGAAGTTCATCGTTTAGCTAATTCTTTTTATATGTTCAATCGTCGTGCAAGTTCATGGTCCATTCGACATGGTCCGATGGGTGCATTTATTTCTGAAGACATTTGCAATATGAATGAATCTCCATTAGCGCTTTTTGGTGATCAAGCTAAAAGGTCTGTTAATGATATTGGTACAAGTAATGAAATCAATGGGTACATTAGCAACAAGGTAGATATCATGTAGCTGATTTATGTTAATTTTTTTTAATCGGATGCTTGTTATTCGAAGAATTTTTTACCATTTTCTTTAATAAACTGAAGATATATGAATCTATACTCAACTTAAACACATAATAAGCTGTGAATCCTAAATATAATATTGACTTTTGTTCTATCTGAGTCACTGTTGGAGTTAAAACTATTTTTCAAAAAGTTGATCAGTTATAACTCAAAAGTTATAACTCGAGTTATAACTACCCTAATTTTAACTCCAACAGTGATCTGAGCACAAAATAAATAAACGGCTATGTTCTGCTCCACTATTGCTTTGTAAAAAAAAATGATTGATACGACTCATACCATTTACCACTTACAAAAATATCTCAATGAGAAATTTCAAAATCTGATGAAGTTGACTGTCCTATATGCTGCAAACACTATCAGATCTTACAAGCTTGACCATTTTTTTTAAAGCATTTTAGAGATTTTGCACCGTTTTACTTACTGTTTTTGGTAAAAATCAACGAATGAAACCAGTGGTACTTTTTAAAGGTAAAGGTAATATTGGTGTTAATGAACGTGANTGTCTATTGAAGAAGAAAAGTTACAAAAAAAATAGAACAGAATGTAACAGTTTATCCAAGGGGGAAAAAGCGGATCCTCGGATCCTTGGATCCTCTTGGATCCTCTGGATCCTTTTGGATCCTCTTGGATCCTCTTGGATCCTCTTGGATCCTCTTGGATTCTCTTGGATCCTTTTGGATCCTCTTGGATCCTTTGAGATCCTCTTGGGATCCCAAAGGATCCAAGAGGATCCAAAAGGATCCAGAGGATCCAAGGATCCGAGGATCCGCTTTTTCCCCCTTGAGTTTATGTATGCACAACGGCAATATTTTTTTAACTTGAATGAATACTTGAAGAGGGAAGTGTCTGCGAGATAGTAACACTCGCTTTATTTGGCTTCTGCACACAACAAATCGTCTCGTTCATATAAAGAGTATATGCCTATATAAAAGAGATAGACAATGACCGGCAGTTAAGCGTAGTAGTCACGCGTGAAGAAAAGAATGACATGATCAATAGACAAAAAGAGATAGAGATAGAGGCGATACGTTTCGTTACACTGAATAGCGCCAAGAGGAAAAATATATATAAACGTCACGAGGAGAAGAGAATCATTGATTATCAATTTCTGTTGTATTAACTGTAATATAAATTTATCAAATTCATGTATTAAATATGAACGAACAACATCTTGAATCTCTATATGATGATAAAGATTCAACTTCTGATAGTTGTAATAGTTCAGATGATGACTCAAGTGTTGAAATTACCTCAACCATTGATAAAGGTGAAAATGAATTAGTACGCTTATCAACATATCTTCAATTGGATTCTGAAGAAGAAAATGATGATGATAAAAACTTTGAATGGCCTGATCCACCTCCATCGTTATTATCTTCAAGTTCAGATGATGTTGATGTTGATGTTGAAGAATCAAGTGATTTTCATCAAGTGGTGTTGCCTACTGCATCATGTGTCCACGTTAATATTCAAGAAAAATCTATTAAACGTAAACGACGTCAATGGTCGATTAAAGAAAAACTTGATGTTATTGCATTATTTGATAAAAATCAAAGTAAACGTAAAACAGCAAGGGAAGAAGGATGTACAACTGCTCAACTTCGAAATTGGCTTAAAAATAAAGAAAATTTATTAGAAATGTACAAGAAGAAAAAAGGTTTGTTTTTTCCTTTAGTTGAGGATGAAACTACATTGTCTTTCGCCTTTTAGATCGTAAAAGCAAACGATTAAAAGGTGGTGGTAAAAAGCTTGTTTACGCTGATCTTAATGACCGACTTTTTACTTGGTATCGGTCACGAAGAACTGATCCAAAAGATGAATCTTTAGCTTCATGTGATATTCGACGAGAAAAAGTAACTCTTCGTCACTTACGAAAAGAAGGTCGACGTATTGCTAAAGAATTAAATCATTCTCCACCATCATCAAGTTGGTATTTAAGATTTATGAAAAGAAATGGTTTATCATTACAACGACCCAAGAGACAAAATAAAGTACCAATTGATGAAGTTCATCGCCTAGCTAATTCTTTCTACATGTTCAATCGTCGTGCTAGTTTATGGTCATTAAAACGTGGTCCTATGGGTGCATTTACTCCTGAAGATATCTGCAATATGGACGAATCTCCATTAGCACTTTTTGGCGATCAAGCTAAAAAATCTATTAATGATATTGGTACAAGTAATGAAATAAATGGGTGTATTAATAACAAGGTAATCTATCATTTTTTATCCGATTTATGTCAGATATTTTATTAGGAGATCAGTTGCTTATGTATTTCGAAGAATTATTGTTTTTTGAAAATTTCCTAGTACACTGATAGATATAGATATATATATATATATATATCTATACTCGATTGAAACAGATAAACTACATTATGAATCCTAAATAAAATATAGATTTTTATTCCAGAATAGAAATCATGTAAAAGGCTAGGTCTTTCCACTATTACTTTGAGAGAAAAGAAATGATCGATACGACTCTTGTTGTTTATAACTTGAAAAGTATTTCAATAGAGAATTTCAAAACCTGTTGAACATGACTTAAGTATCCTCTGAAAATAACATCAAATCTTAAATGTTCGACCATTTTTTCATTATTTTAGAGATTTTGTACAGTAATACTTACTGTTTTTGCTAAAAATCAACGAATGAATCCGGTGGTACTATTCAAAGGTAAAGGTAATATTGGTGTTGATGAACGTCAACAATATTCACAAGGTGTACATGTTATTTTTACACCTAAAGCTGTTATTAATGGACCATCAATGGATATTTATGTTAAAAAATGGTTAGAAAAGGTACGATTACTGTCAGAATAGGACACAGAATTTCATCAACTTCATAATCGATTACATGATTTATAGTTATTATTTATCTTATAGGTACATGATGGTCATCCAAAACTCTTCATTACCGATTCGGCTAATTCACATTTAAAACCGGAAATTATTCAAAATTTCCGAAAACAAAATGTTGTGGTATCTATTATTCCAAAAGGATGTACACAATATTTACAGCTTCTGGATACTTCAATCTTCTCGGTATTCAAAAATCATTATCAAGCTGCTGCTGATGAATATATTGATCGTTATAGTTCACGTAGTAAAATGAAATTATCAGCTAAACAACAACGAATTTTATGTACTCGTTTAATTTGGATAGCATGGCTTCGGACACAAAATAGTGTTGACTTCGAACGTGCTTTTCTTGATATTGGTTATACATGGGTTGACACATCTCCTGTTTCTATTAGAACTTTACAAGGATTTGTTTTTGATCCATCAACAGTAACATCTTCGACCATCAATAATGATGATAATGATAATGGTAATGACGAAGAAGAAGAATTTAGTAAGAAAATGATGTTCGAAAATAAAGATTCAAATGTGTTAACCATCACCGACAATAACAAAATGAAACAGCTTAGTATATATCAGTGTATGAAAAAGTAAAATTTAATTGTAATTCATTTTTGTTTTTACTCTTTGTATTTGTATTTTGTATTTGAAATATAATCATGATGAACTTATGGAATAATATTCTTAAAAAATATAATAACACTATCTGATCCTTTATGTACAAGAAATCATATTTGAAGGCCGCTCATAATAGAAGACCCCTCTAAGGTATTTGTACGTTAAAACGTAATAGAAGACCCGGGGGTCTTTTATTGTGGGGAAGGGTTTAGAATTATCTACTTCAATGTTATCGTATCGGTCGAATATTATAACATTTACGTGTATACATTTTAATGTCAAATAAGGTATGTTACTTACAATTTTTTTTCTCACTGAGGGGACTTAAACATAAATTTATAAGTTAAGAAGTACTAGTGGCCAATAGTACTTCTCAACTTCTTTTTTTTCTTTGCGTATATTGACACTTAGTAAATGTTTAATTTCTAATACCTATATTCTTGTGTGTAGGAAGGGGGAGAGCGAGAGAGAGAGTTATGTACGATCTTATAACACAGGCTGTCAGATGGCTTCGTAATCTGACCCAGGCGAGAGAAACTGTTTGTCCTGCTTCGGAGAAAGCAGTGCAGCACTCGGAAAGGGCACTCTGTTCGTGGGTCCCTTTCGTTGTTATTGTACGTCATACCTACGATCATGCCCTACCAGTTCGGCGTGGTCCGCTCTGTGTATACCTGTTGCACGCTTACGGGGCCTCGTTCTGGTTGCGCGCGCGCGAGTACGCGAAGCAAGTGAATAAAAATTAAATTACAGTTTATTTAGCAAACAAACGAAGAAAAAAAATAAATTTAGAGCTTTTTCTCTACATATGCAATGCTATTTTTCACGTCTTTTATATGAGGATGTTCCGGTGGAAGTGATTTTTGCCAGATAACAAGTGCTTTCTTATAGAGTTCAAGTGCTTTCGAGTAGTCACCCATGGTGTTATACACTCCACCGATGTTGTTGTATGAAGTAGCCAATGAGGGATGATTGGGAGGCAGAGCCGTTTCTTTGATTTTAAGTGATTTTTCGTAAAATTCAAGTGCTTTCGAGTAGTCACCCATGTCGCTATACACTGGTCCGATGTTACCGTATGAAGCAGCTAAATCGGGATGATTTGCAGGCAGAGCTGTTTCTCTTATTTTAAGTGATTTTTCGTAAAATTCAAGTGCTTTTGAGTAGTCACCCATTTTGTTATATACTCCACCGATGTTGTTATATGAAGTAGCCAAATCGGGATGATTTGGAGGCAGTGCTTTTTTTGTGATTTTGAGATCTTTTTCGTAAAATTCAAGTGCTTTCGAGTAGTCACCGATGTTGTTATACACTAGACCGATGTTGTTGTATGAAGTAGCCAGATCGGGATGATTTGGAGGCAGTGCTTTTTCTCTTATTTTGAGTGATTTTTCGTGAAATTCAAGTGCTTTCGAGTAGTCACCCATGTAGCTATACACTTGTCCGATATTACCGTAAGAAGTAGCCAATGAGGGAAAATTTGAAGGCACAGCTTTTTTTGTGATTTCAAGGTCCTTTTCGTAACATTCAAGTGCTTTTGAGTAGTCACCCATGTTGTTATACGCAAGAGCGATGTTGTTGTAGCAAGCAGACAATGATGGGTGATCTTCAGGAAGAGTTTTCCGTTCGATGTCGAGGGACTTTTCGTAAAACAAAGCCGCTTCTTGGTATTGTCCTTGGTCGTCTTTCAACCATCCAAGCTGGTGATAGATAAGTGATCTATCACTGTCGTCAGATGCCTGTTCGAGTAGTGCGTTATACAGTTCTTCGGCCTTATCAAATTGGCCAATTTTGAGCAGTAGTTTACCCATTCGATACCATCCTGTGGTACCTGACACTTCTTCTCGTATACGAGCAGTTAATTTTCGAAGTTGTTCGTCGTCATCGGACGTAAGTTTAAGGTCCACTTCATAAAGTGGATTTTTCTTGTCAATTTTTCGAACGTCGTCAATTCGAAAGACTGTGTGCATGGAGAAGAGAATTTCCTCTTCTTCTTTGAAGTAACTAACCTCCCGGATGGAGGCGAATGGAGTTGATAATACTGTAGGATCGATGGTCATTATGAAGAGAACACCAACTAGATCGGTTGTTCCTAAGGCGTCTTTGGCGAACTTGAGGGAGATTTCTCGATCTGTACTGGTGGATAAGAAATTATTAAAAGAAATAAGACCACCTTTACTTTTCGCGATTTTTTCCAAGTCTTTCTGTGATAATCCTTGTCCCCGAAAAACAAGAAAACTCTTCCGATGATACTGACTGACCTGTTTACTGTGTAATTGTTCAACTTGTCGGTGTACATCGCACAAGAAGAAACCCATGCGGATGATGATGTCTCCATCCAGGGTTCGCAGAGCTCGATTGAGCATTTTGAATGTGAAGCATTGACGTGTATACCACGATATAGCGGATGTTGGATTATAAGTACGTCGAAATTCTTGAATCAGCTTGAGTTCTTTCTTGTTGTCATGGTATTGTTCTTGACAAAATTTCACCAACTCTTGTACGGCCTGTTGGCCGTGTTCCATATCAAGGAGAATTTCCTTAAATATTTGTGTATACATAAAAGATGGTTCTAGCTGATTAAGATCTTTGCTAGAACCACCTTCATTTGTGCTGATGATACTGACTGTGACTTGGTCTTGATTGCATTGCTTGACGGTCACTTCCCGTTTCTTGCAGATTGACTTGGTCGTTGTGTGGACGCCCTTGATTTTTGCCCAATTTTTGGCCCCAG